CAGGTAAGTATTTATTTTGTTTACTTGCCTTTCATATCATTTTAATGGAGAAGTAGGGCCAAAGGTCTTATGGCCCTATTTCTCCTGTGGATAACAGGAGTGCACTTACAGTAGTTCTGCATTCCTGTGACCAACAGTGGGCTAAAGCATGCAGTCATCAGATGTCACTGAGACTGTCTAGGCTGTGGAAAGATCCTGACTTTAAAGTTGGGATCCTCCCAGATTTCTGTGACTGTCAGTCTTTGGCTCTCTGCTCTGCCCCTCCAGTATTGACTGGAGCACCAGGCTGGGAAGGAGGCCGGAGCAGCTTGTTCAGCCTCTCAGCGAAACACTGAGAGCCAGTTGCTCTGGCCTCCTACCCAGTCTGGTGCTCCAGTGAATACTGGAGGGGCAGAACAGATAGCTAAAAACTGACAGTCACCTGCTCTCTGCTCACTGAAGACTGAGAACATATTCTTCATCACATAGTTCTTGGTCTTAGAGGCAGCAGGGGACACAGGCTGCATCCACCTAGGTGAGTATGTATGTCTTTTTTTTTCATTCCCAAACTTCTTTTAAAATACTAGTTATCTGGCTGGGGCTGGCTGCTATACATTCTTCCTATTTATCCAGAACAAGTATACAGCCAAGTAAGTCAGAACCTCTGAACTGCATGGTTGTTTCAGTTCAATTACCAAAATTACCGAAGCCACTGAACTAGCACGGCATCCAGGAAGCTAGCACTTTAAGTGACAGCCCCCATATTGCCCTCAGAACAGGTTTCCGTTAAGAAAAGTGAACCAGCAGCAAAAATGGCAGAGCAGAAATGAGAAATGAGCAGTTTTTACATCTGACTCACCACACACCTCTCCACTGAGTACAATCCTAAAATCTGCACTGTCAGGTCATGAAAGCTTAAAGCTTAATTTGGAAAGATAAAACACAAATAAATCATAATTTGGCCTCTCAGGCCTCTGTACTGACTTCCGGAAGTGCACATGAGTTATCCAGATCGTCCTATACAGCAATAAAGAATACAATGGAAAAAATGCAAGAATTCTCATTTACAGTTGTGACCAAAATTATTCAACCCCAATGCTGTAAAGGGTTTTAGGGACTATAGTGTACATTTGGAATTGTATTCAGAATCAAATCCTACAAGGACGTTGTAACTACCCAAATGCAACTAAAATGACATCAATTGTTTATGTAATACAGTAGTAAACCACTCTGAAGAACAGAGGTTCATACAGGTGCTTTCCATCAGGTATTGAAAACACCTGTGGATGTCACCGAACAGCAATCAAGCATAATAAGCACCAATTAGGCAGCTTTAAAATGACTGTGATACTCAGCTCCTTCTAGACATTTACTGGTGTGGTTACAAACATGGTGAAGGCAAGAGAATGGTCCAGGAAGACAAGAGAAGAGGTGATTTCTCTTCACAGGAAGGGCAATGGCTATAAGAAGATTGCAAAGATGTTAAACAGAGACACCTTAGGAAGCATCATTCGCAAATTCAAGGCAAAGGGGCACTGTTGAAACGCTACCTGGTCGTGGCAGAAAGAAGATGCTGACTTCGACTGCTGTGCGCTACAAGTCCCCGTGTGACTGCTGAGGAACTGAGAAAAGATTTGTCAGATGTGGGTACAGAAGTTTCAGCCCAGACAATAAGACGCACACTGCGTAATGAAGGCCTCCGTGCCAGAACTCCCAGGCGTACCCCCTTGCTGTCTCCAAAGAATAAGAAGAGTCAATGCCAAAGCCATGTGGACAAACCACAAAGTTGTGGGATAGTGTTCTGTGGACTGATGAAACAAAATTAGAATTGTTTGGGCCCATGGATCAACGCTATGTTTGGAGGAGGAAGAACAAGGCCTATGATGAAAAGAACACCTTGCCTACTGTGAAGCATTGGTGGAGGGTCAATCATGCTTTGGGGCTGTTTTGCTTCTGCAGGTACAGGGAAGCTTCAGCGTGTGCAAGTACCATGAATTCTCTTCAGTACCAGGAGATATTGGATGGAAACGTGATGCAGTCCGTCACACACCTGAGGCTTGGGAGACGTTGGACCTTTCAACAGGACAATGATCCCAAGCATCCTCCAAGTCCACTAGAGCATGGTTGCAGAGGAAAGGCTGGAACATTTTGGAGTGGCCATCGCAGTCACCAGACTTAAATCCGATTGAGAACCTCTGGTGGGACTTAAAGAAAGCAGTTGCAGTGCGCAAGCCTAAGAATGTGACTGAACTGGAGGCCTTTGCCCATGAAGAATGGGCGAAGATACCCGTAGATCGCTGCAAGACACTTGTGTCAAGCTATGCTTCACGTTTAAAAGCTGTTATAACTGTAAAAGGATGCTGTACTAAGTACTAAGATTGAATGTCACTTGGGGGTTGAATAAAACTGATAATGCTGTGAGCACAGAAAAAGACATTTGTGGTTATTTCATTATAACTGTTATGTTATATTTGTCTGACCTACAAGTGCCTCTTTAATGTAAATGTAAGCAAGATGACTGAATGATCAAAAGCAATGTCAAACTGGCCAAAACACTCAATTTCAGTGGGGGTTGAATAATTTTGGTCACAACTGTACCTGTGGTAAAAACACATAACAATACATTTGATCCAGTGTTTAGAGTCCTCAAAACAATTTTAAAAGGCCTAACTTGTTTTTTGTTACTTCCTAACTAGTGCATAAAAAGTGTAAACACTATCAACAAACTTTAAGCTGAGGACCATTAAATATAAACTGCAGTATTATTAAAGAAAATACAACCTTATGGCTATAAAACTACACTAAACATTCAACTAATTATTTTCCATTCTGTCACAGTGGATTAAAGTCCCATTGGACATCACATATAAAAGGAAACTCTATATTTCATTCACATTCACCACATACAGGATGTCGTAACTGAAGGTGGTATAATCCTTAGAATGTCCCATATGCATCTCCTCGAGCTGCTACTGCAAAAGCTGGATAGGCTTCGTAGGTGGCATAGGCGGCAAGGTCTTGTCCCAAGGCGACTGCTTGTTTTAGTTGGGTGGCAGCAGCTACTGCGGCCGGCGAGCTAGCTATGGCATATCCTAAAATTTAAATTAAGCAAGACGTTAAAAATTTGAAAGTATCAACATATTAGATCAAGGACTATATGTGTTACCCATAGTAACCAAATTCACTTAGAAAATGAAAGAGCATTCTGAGAGCTTGGCCAGGGTAGCAAAAAAAGAAAATCTTGGTACAGACACCGTCACACATTGAAGGAAATATGTTGAGGCACCTGATTGGTGTAATCCAGAAACATATTACATTAATACTCATAAAATCACCTTTATTGCCATAAATTACTGGCAATCAAAAATCCATGAATAAAAACTATAAAAAGAAATTCTTAAAAATTTTGGGGTGATTTACTAAAATTGGAGAGTGCTAAATTTAGTGCAGCTGTGCATGGTAACTAGTCAGCTTCTAACTTCAGCTTTTTCAATTAAGCTTTGACGAAAAAAAAAAAAATACTGAAAGCCGACTGGTTTCTGTGCAGAGCTGCACCAGATTTTGCACTCTCTGATATAAATAATAATATAATAAAATACTAAAAACATGTGGTTTGTGAGAGCAAGCAGATTTGGCTATGCCTTAGTGAGAAATATTAAGTAATTCAAATTTGGCAACTTTGTTCTTCTCAAAGACCATATTGTAGCAGGCAGTCTTACAAGCAATCCACAAGGGGTCCACGAAAGATTCTGATCTACATTTATCAGCAGTAACAGAAATAATTGATATTTTCAGTTCCCAATTGACAGCAGTAAGAGTTCATCATAATTCAGCTGCTATAAATTAAATGTTACATGAAAAATAAATATTAAATTGTGGCTGGATGAAAAAAAATGTGGCAGCTTCTGACTGAACCATATCCAAACTTTTTTAATATCCAACAAACTGTGATGATATATAATCATAGGAATCAGATTGCAACATTATTTCTAATGTATAACAAGTTGCATCATGATAAAATTGTGACTAAAAGACAACCACTGCTGTGGATAGGGATTGGAACAGATCCGTAATTTTTATTGCTGCCTACATAAGTGGATCAAATTCTTTTTTCATGGAGCAGCCATGAACTGTTTGCAAGTCTGTATACTCCATGGCAGGGGCGGACTGACAACTCATGGGGCCCCCGGGCAATAGAGGATAATGGGGCCCCTGTGTCCTTGCCCAAACTCAAAAAAGCCTAAGAAAAAGGTATCAGGGGCATCTCATGGGGCCCCTTACTGACCCTAGGGCCCTCAGGCAGTGCCTGAGTTTCCAAATGGTCAGTCCGCCCCTGCTCCATGGTGGATTGAAGAAATAGCTTGTTTTTACGTCTATACTGAATTATCACTAAAAGTGAACCTGTGCTTTGCTCATGCAGCCATGGGGGAGATTTACTAAAACTGGAGCACTCAGAATCTGGTGCAGCTATGTATGGTAATCAATCAGCTTCTAACTTCAGCTTGTACAACTAAACTTTGGCAATAAGACCTGGAAGCTGATTGGTTACTATCTACAGCTGCACCAGATTCTGTGTGCTCCAGATTTTTTGAATCCCCCCTCCATGCGATAGTACTCAGGTCTGCTGATTAGTGCTCTGGCATGCAGTGTTGCATTGTGGGAGGCAGGAGAGAGAGTCACATGCTACCCCATACCCCAGCGTATTTCACATCACTCTAGCTGATGAATGGAGAAACTGGGGAACAAACAGAAGATGAATAATAGCATCCTGGGGGTGGGCAATTAAATTAAACTGTGGCTTTGCCCTTCACAGTTCACAATAAAGAATAAGTTTGCTTTTTTATAAAATAAATAAATAAATGCACATCTTTTTGCAGGTTAAAAAAAAAAGTGCATTTATTTATTTATTTATTTTTATTAAGAGCCTGTAAAGCATTTTAGACTCAAGCAAACTGCCAGTGTAGCTGTCCATACCTCTGATACTGGCAAGCAGTTACTGAATGACAGGAAGAATCAATGAACTACTAGAGTGCTCGCCAGCACCTTGGTAGTTCACTGAGAACAACAAACCGTCAGCCACAATGGCCAACAGTAGTTGTAGTTTTCCCATTCACAGAACTCTATGAATAAATGATGTGGCCAGGTGGGCGGAGCCCCAAACAGCCACTTTTTAAATAACTGTGACAGCGGTTGCTGGAAGAAGATAACTGGCCCGCTGTACAAACGGAACCTCGGGGGAGGCGGCGGCTGCTCATTTAGTAACATGTAACATGTTTCACCATAGATACGGGTGTAACATGTAACATGTTATGAAATGTGAACTTATCCTTTAATTTTTTCCACAACTATATTACAATATGTTCCAGTTTATGTAAACCTATATTTACTAAGTATTCCTGGAGTGGGTCCCCCTGAAACATTTCTTCAAACTACTTCCCATCTATTAATGTTTTCTGTACAATCTGTTTTTTTTTTTTTTTGGGGGGGGGGGTTATATCTGTTTATGCCATGTATTTCAAAGTAAAATCTAAAAGGTGGGTGTTCACTAATGTAGGACACAGCTTGCACATAAAGATGTTTACTGTACCGGCTCTCCTGAGATTTCATTAACTAATTTTAAACTTGCTGGCCAAGGCATCTGGTGCAATCCCATCTTCTCCATGTTCTATATCTGCTCTACTTCAGAGACATGTGTCTGTGCCAGCTTGGATTCTGGTTGGGCATTCACTAACACTTTACCTGTTACGATAAATTACCTCTAAAAAGCAGACATACCCCCTGAATCCATCAGAACTACCCCCTTAGACCAGCATGTTAGGTCCCCTTTAAGCTCAGTATGCAGACAGAAATTATTTAGTTTATTCAAAGCTTTTATTATACAAAAACTTTCCCCCATTTTTCTCTCTGGACAACAATAATTATAGCCTATAAAGATGAATGAGAAGTGATGCTTATTGGGAATGTACTATAAGTGAAAAGATGAACATGATGAAAGATTGGTACACATACTGAAGTTACCTGCAAAGGCTGCTGGTGGCTCAGCGCTCTCTGTTGGGATTCCTAAAGTCTGAAGTGTATACTCAGCTGCATAGTTTTTTGCTTCATCCACAGATATACAAAGCTTTGGAGGAGTAAATGGGTGGCTACAACAGCAATATAAGAATATTTAAATGTTACAGTTGGGCTGAATTGTACTATATATACCAAAATGCTATAAGAAGGTTAGAAATACCTAGCTAATGTTTTGGGTTGTTATTACAGTGTTTTCCTTAAAGAGATGTTGTCCCCTGGCCCGTGCAGATGCTAGCTTCAATGTCGGCCAACTCTGCTTCCTACTGAGCCAGCTGAAATTTGAGCCACGGGTGACCCTGTTGGTATCGCCTGGCTTACCAAAACTTAAAAAAATTGAAGTACCTTGGCGGAAAATTCTAAAAAAGAAAAGTGGGTGCAGCCAATCAGATTCAGCAACTGCTCAGGTACAGCCAGGGGAGCAGCGGCTCTTAGAATACAATGGTCAACAGGGTAGATTGCTCCATCCTTTCTGTTTGTGAAAGAATTCTTAACATGTATGGCTAGTTTGACATTTGAGTAAATATGGTTGCCTCCAGGTACATGTCTCATTACAAACTATGACACAACACCAATAATTTTTTAAACATGAAGTTACATAGGTAACAATGTTTTACATCAAGCTATTTACTTCTAGGTGCTGTTCTTCAAATGCTAAAAAAAGACGATACATTACCATTTAAACAAAGTGCCTATGGTGTCACCATTGCAACTCACGGGTCAAATGAAATCTCACCTCTTCTGTATACGCCTCACCTCTGGATGGCCTTTTACCTTAAAATCAGTTGGGTTAGGGTTGTGCTGGCTTGGGCCTATTAAACTGTAGGTAGCCCCCAATTTGTCTGTCATTTTACAACATAGATGTCTCTGAGTTTTGTTCATGTGTCATAGGTTGCATCCATTTATCATGCCTGTGACCAGCAATATGTGAAGGTCTGTTTAAATGGTAGTTGTAGGATAATTATTTGGAATGACAACCTTCACTTCTGAACAGTAAATTATAGTTTGCAGCTGTGGGTACATTTTATTTGAATAAAACTAATTATACTTTTTTAAATTTTAATTTCTTTTTTTTCCCTGGAAAGTTTCAAGCACAAATAGAAATGCATGCTAGGCCTCACAGGCAGTGGCAGACTGACAACTCACGGGGCCCCCGGGCAATAGGGGATCATGGGGCCCCTGTGTCCTTGTCCAAACTCAAAAAAGCCTATGAAAAAGGTACCAGGGGCATCTCATGGGGCCCCCTACTGACCCCAGGCCCTCGGGCAATGCCCGAGTTTCCAAATGGTCAGTCCACCCCTGCTCACAGGTTAGCATTTCTGATAGAACTTCTTATGTTAACTAATCAGTCTCTCAGTTTAATAGTTATCTTATAGGTTGTTGAAAATTATTGCTAGATAGATGTAGCACCCTCCTACATAGGTGCTAGGTTATGTACATTTAGTCTTAGTAGAGCTGCTTGTGATTGCTCTGGTCTGCTCTTAGTTTCACAGGCTGTGGGTTTGGCTGCTTCCTCCTGCCTTCGGGATAGTTTGTGGGCTGGATGAAATGAATCAACAGTTGAATATTTATGTTTTCTCAGGAATCCCTGGAAGAGAAGATGGTGCAGATGGTGGCTGGGAGTGAACATAAATAGTCTGAAGCCTGCACCTGCCCTGTCTTGTTCAGGAGGAGGAGATCCCAGTCTGAAGGGCTGTTACCCTTCTGGACAGTCCAAGATGTGTTTCTTCCTTTTGCTTAAGAAGGTCCCATCTGTGATAATTGGGGGCCCCATTCTACTGAACTCTGCTGGAGCTGACTGAGGGACTTCTTTTGGGGATCTGGTCTGAAGAATTCACAGGAAATGTGTCTGAAAGATATCTGAAGGAGGCATCCAACTAACCATGCACATTAGTGTGTACAGACCAGTGTGTGAAATCCCAGTAACTGCAGGTTGCTGCTATCCCTCTTGCACCAGAGTCAGCCTGAGCTTAAAAAGGGGACATTGTTCATGATGTCCCTGTGTAGCTAAGCCCATTATTTGCTGCTGCAAAGAATCTGCTTAGAATTTTAATGAGGAAAATATGTGTCCTCAAGTTACTACTTAACATTGCTGGAGCATCCCACGGTTTGCCTGCACCCATCCAAGTTCAAGTTTTTCAACAAAGCATCAAAAAGAATTTCCCGTAGACTGATCATTGAGTCAGAAGAGTGACTGAGACTGTGATCGTTCAGCAAGCCCTTTAGGGGGTGAGTGCTACAAATAGTATTTGTATAGATATTGACTAACTAAAGATCAAAACACAAACATAGCAAAAAGGTAATATATACACATAATATAACATAATAAAACAGTTGCAGTCTGTTCAAATACTACATCTGTAAACATATGTGCACAAGTGAATGTCCAAAATAATATCCACACTTACATAGCAGGGTTCTGACTAGCAAGGACGGGAATGGTGATTTTATATAGGAACAGTTGTCTTTGGTCTTGACCGATTGCAGAGTGCAGTTGGTATACTGGCTGACCCCAGTTATTTTTTTGACAGATTTCCTCCAGCACCTTTAAAAATAGGAACATGTCTGTAAAGTAAGTCAGTTTACATTTTCATGCACAGAATACGTGTAAAAAATATAAACCTCTACAATGAAGACCCAAACATACAGCAAAAAAAAAATAAATTGAAAGTCTAAATTTATTCTGAGATTTATTGAATCTAGGCCAGCCAAAGCTAATCCAGATCCTTATTTAACAAAAAGTTATATTGTCTGTAAGATTTAAATCACAGTTTTACTCCTAAAATCCAGTAGATCCATATCCTGATCTTTCTAATATAAACCAAATTTTAGTACAATAGGTGTCTTTTATGTTTTGCATAGATTTGCATGAGAAGAGAAAATCTGTACTTTTTTGTTTGACAGTACCAAACTATACCTATACATGTTATGTAGATATGCATTGGATATTTGAATATTAAGATGTAGCATTGTAGTGTAGCATTCATTTATTACAGGGGTCTTTGGGGGGGGGGGGGGGGGCAGACTGTGGTCAGTGGGAATGCCCTGGCATCAGTGGAAGTAAACAATGCCAAAGGCTTGGTGGTCAGTGGGAGTAAAAAAAAAAAAACGTGTAACTGGTGTCAGTGGGAGGAATGGTGCCCTATAGTTGGTGTCAGTAGATAATTAGTTGCCCATCTCTGGTGTCAGTGGAAGTGTCCCATCATTGGTGTTGGTGGGAAGAATAGTGCCTCATATCAGTTGAAGGAATACTGCCCCAGGGGCTGGATAAAGGCATGCAAAGAGCCACATCTGTCCTGCAGTTCGGAGGTCCCCAATTTATTTTATGGCATTTATATAGCACTTTTTATACTGTACATTCATATCAGCCCCTGCCCTCAAAGAGTTTACAGGTACTTATATAGAGCCATCAATTTACGCAGTTCTTTACATACATATATTTGTACATTCACATCAGTCCCTAACCCTCAAGGGGTGTACAATCTAAGGTCCCTAACACACATTCATACATACACATACTAGGGCCAATTTAGACAGGAGCCAATTAACCTACAAGCAAGTCTTTGGAGTGTCGGAGGAAACCGGAGTACCCGGAGGAAACCCACGCAGGCACAGGGAGAACATGCAAACTCCAGGCAGGTGGTGCTGTGGTTTGGGATTTAAAACCAACGACCCTAGTACTGCCAGGCATAGGAAATATATTATTGTTACTTGTTTTAAACTTTTTTTTTTTTACATTTCTTCAGTTACTTCCTGGTTTCCAGGCCTGGGTAAATGATGCCATACATCCCAGGAGTCTACAGGAGGGAGGAGAGGAGGATGCCTGCATGCCTGAGCTAATGGCAGATGGATTCAATTAAGTAATTGCTACATGAATCATCTGCTATTACTCAAGATGGTCACTGCCAGAAGAAATTCTAGGGTGTGCTTTTAAAAGTCATTTCTCAGCAAAATTATGTATTGAGACATGGATGGATGGGGGAGTATGCTATAAGCATTCAACATTAATTAAATTGCATTTTTAGTTTGTGGTGCTCAGATGCAGTGTAGTTCCGCATTAATCCCTAGAAATTATTCACTACAAGCAATGATCAGTTTAGTAAAGGATGAAACAAATGGCTCCCTATGGTTTAAACTAAATAAGTACCATGTAGCAGGGGCGGACTGACAACTCATGGGGCCCCCGGGCAATTGGGGATCATGGGGCCCCTGTGTCCTTGCCCAAACTCAAAAAAGCCTATGAAAAAGGTACCAGGGGCATCTCATGGGGCCCCCTACTGACCCCGGGCCCTCAGGCAGTGCCAAATGGTCAGTCCGCCCCTGCTATGTAGTATCGATCAATACCATATGATCTGCAATACTCCAGTTATGTGCAACTAATGGCTTCTTGTGTAGCTTACATCATTGGGAGCCATTTGTTTGGCAATGAATCACTAGCGATGATTCACTATGGTGACACTGTACTGCTAGGGTGACAGTATGTTAAAAAACAAAAACATAAATATTAATATAAAAAAAAAAAATTAAAGTGTAAAAACATTTTTTAACAATTATAATTTTTTGGGTTATAAACTAATTTGGGTTATTTTTTTTTTTTTACTAAAAAGATAGCTGAATACATTTTAGCCAAGATTTATGAAGAAATATTTATTTGCAAAATTTTATAAGAAAAACACTTTTTTTCAAAATTTTTGGAATTTATATAGCAAAAAAATAAAAAATCTCAGTGATGAATAAATACCACCAAAATAAAAGTTTTATCTGTCTCAAAAAATGCTAAAAAATGCATATGGGTACAGTGTTGCATGACCACGCAATTGTCATTCCAAGTGTGATAGCACTAAAAGCTGAAAATTGGCCTGGACAGGAAGGGTGTGAAAGTGTCCGGACTTGAAGTGGTTAAAGGATAAGTTCACTTTCTATAAAAAGGTAACAAATGTACATTTGCTATTTTTTTTCTTAGCCTTGGGAGCATTGCACCCACCATCAGCAGATCGCTGGTGCCATGCAGTACTCCTGCAAACTGTCAGCATATCTGTGTGCCCAGCCATCCCATATGGGCAAGCAGATACAGTCTGACAGGAAGACTGAACGAAGTACCACAACGCTCAACAGCGCCGTGGTAGTTCATTGAATACTCAAGCTGAGAGCCCCAAAGGCTGTCGGGACTTGTAGTTAATTCATTCACAGAACTCTGTGAATGAATGACGTGGCCATGTGGGCAGAGCCATGCTGTTTTTTAAAAAGTGACAGCTAGTATGAGGAACTACTCACTGTACTGCTGCCACAGGGAGGGAGGATTAGACAGGGCTGCAGTTGTGGGAACATGCTAAATGTTCCACCCTAAAAACAGGTAACATGTTCCCAGAGGTGAACTTATTCTTTAAAGCATTTGGATTTTAATAATAAAAAATGAACTCTGAAAGATGCTGCTGATTGATTTATATGCAGTGCATGAACAAAGCCATTTATCTACCATTTCCTTGATAATATGTAGGCATGTCAAATTTAGAAGTAAGTTAGGTGACCTTCAAGATTTCAATATACATTAACTCCCTGTCAGTTAGTCATTGCAGTCAATGTGTTCCTGTAATGTATTGTCTAATTCCAGGATACAGAACACTAGGTTCTGTTCTCTAACTAATGGCACATTTCCTTATCTAGAAATTAAGGCAAATAGCTTTTCAGCAGATGCGTATGTGGTCAGATAAATAACATAATGGAAACATCGTATTTGATAATATGCTGTCAGACTACTCTCTCCTAAAAATACTTCAAGAAGCAAAAGGCTTTTTTGGCATACTACATCTATCACTATTACTTGTATTATTCACATTAGGCTACTGATGATTATTATACCAAGAGCCTTACCTATACTAGCCATACATCTTTCTGATATAACAAGGCATTATGATATGTTTCTGAAGGATTATGTTTATTTATTTTGTAATACTGGATATTTATAAACCAGAATTCCCCTGTCCATATTTGGTCAGTGATGTCAACACATCACATATATAAAATCTGATTACAGCTCTGTCGTGTGTGTTGTCATGTGCGGCGTGAGCGGATAGGACAGTGTTTTGATGGGTTTTTTTTCTTTCCACAATCAGAAGTCAATATTCATTGTGAATGAGGCTGGAATAACAATGCTGGATTTTTAAACATTAAAAGACTTGTCAAAAAATTGTGTGTGTTTATTTACAGCTGACTTTTTTTGAATGAGTAGGGGTATTATATACCTCTTACTCATTCACATAGAAGGGGGTGGATAAATGGGGGCCCCCTTATCTTAAAGGGGGCTTCCAGATTCCAAGTCTCCCCTGCATCACCACATCCACAGGGCCAGAGTTGTGCGGAAAAAGTCCTTGTCCTCATCAACCCAGGGCCACTCCTTATGTTGGAGCCATGTGGCCTGGTATAGTTCAGCTTTTCCACATTTCCCTCTTAAAATGTTTACCATATCTGAAGGGTCTGATATGGATTTTTGGGAGGTCCCATGTTATTTTTGGGGGGGGGGGGGTTTAGTGCCATCTAATCCATATTAGAACTGAAGAGTCTGGAATTCCTTCTGGGGGGGACCCCATGCCATTTTGTAACCAAAAAAACATTAATTCACTTTTTCCTGTAAGCTTCCTTTATTTTGTAAATAATGCAATAGGGATCCCCCTCCACCAAAATACATACTAGACTCTCATCCTCCTTGATGAGGGTCTGGTATGTATTTTTGGGGTTCCTCATTACATTATTCACAAAATAAAGGAAGCTTGCAGGGAAACGTGAAGTAACAGCATTTTCCTTTTGCTATATCTTACATGGTAGAGATGCCACTTCACAGAAAGGTTTAGGGGACCCCCAAACAGGTTTTTTTAAAAGGAATAGTGCATTTTTACATGTTACACCAATATTCAGGGATCTTCCCCCCCCCCCCAATATTCAAGGATCCCCCCCCCCCCCCCTAGCTGTCAGATTTAAAAAGAACAAGGCCATGCAGGGCTCCACCCGCCCAGCCGTGTCACTCCTCTGTGAAGGAGAAACTACAAGTTAGCGGCTGTCGGTTTTGTAGTTCTCAATAAACTACCACGGCACTGTGGTAGCTCATTGACTTTTCCCATACGGGCAAGTAGATATACTGACAGATCTGCAGGAGATCTGCATGGCATCAGTGATCTACTGATTGCTTGAGCAATGCTTTTTGCTGCAGCAAAAAATAATAAATGCACATTTTTATACCTGCAAAAAAAATGTGCATTTATTATTTTTTACCAAAAGGCAAACTTATCCTTTAAAAATGATTTGACAGATGCAGCTCCCATTGACATCAATGAGGTCTGGCAAAACCTGCACTAAACAAACCCAGGTGTCTACTCATCCCTGGTGACCAGAGGGTAGCTATTGCTTCCTAAATTTTGCAGTTTTTTTCTTATCCTACCCTCTTGAAATGAAATCTGTGTAAAGTCAGTTTTTATTCTAATTGGCAGTTTATCGAAGGCAGTGGGGTGAGAGTGATGCTTGCTAGCAAGGGGAGACTTCAGTCAGAGCTTGATAACCCTGACCTGACCACTCGAGAGTTAAACACCACCTGCAAAATCTGCCAGTAGCATTGAGCCAAATATTTGTTTTATGGAGCTCTTTACTGTCAGAGGTACCAGAAAAAAGAAAGAATGTGAATGCATGATCAGGTTTATATTTACTGATTAGCTCAAATGGGTCTGAGTCTTAGTGGAGACCAGTGGACTTTGCAGGATTTATAAGGGGAAAAAAAAGAGGCAACTGCCCTGGCCCCTCTTACGGAAAAATGATATAAAACAATTTAAAAAACAATTTAAAAATAATTATATAAAAACAAATAATAATAACATATTATTAAAAATTACTTTATTTTATTAAATGTATCTTGGAAAGTAGTATTTTGTTGGCCATCATCTGTAAATGTTTTTAGACTGGACTGGTAGATTGTAAAATTTTTAAAAACAAATTTTGGTGCCACACATAGAGTGCTAAGGCTGTGTGTGTGTGTATACGCATGACCTCAGCATGAAGTTGTGTCATGCATTTTAAAAATGTATGACTGTCATTAAGAATGTAAACCAGCTCTGTGTATAAGAGCCCCCCTCTGCTACCCCACAAGCCCGAAGTGCCCTGGGCTCCTCAGGGTCTAAATCTGACCTTACCAATAGACACAGAGGTGGCTGAGCGACAAAAGATCTTAGGTTAGGAAAGTGCAGGTACAGACACAGACATGGGCAGACTGACCATTGGGAAACTCAGGCACTGCCCGAGGGCCCGGAGTCAGTAGGGGGCCCCATGAGATGCCCCTGGTACCTTTTTCATAGGCTTTTTTGAGTTTGGGCAAGGACACAGGGGCCCCATGATCCTCTATTGCCCTATTGCCTGGGGGCCCCATGAGTTGTCAGTCCGCCCCTGGACACAGACAAGAGTTTTATTAAGCACTATACTCACTTCACTCTTAACCCTCTTAGTAGACTTATTTAAATAGAAAACATTCAAATTTGCCATTTTCAACATAATAATGTTATTATATTTAATGGTAAAGTTGTTCTTAAATCTTTCATTTCTACAGCTAAAATGTATTAGTGACCATAGATAGATTTGCTTTATTTTATCCTCTTTAGAAAATTAAGAGAGTATACATTTCAGGCCTTACCTGTGGTGCAGGTTTAACAGCTTGTGGCTTTAGAGCGACAGCACTCATTGGTGTTATCTCCATTCCTGGCAAAATGTCATAAAGTTTCTCATCTCCGCGTTTGTCTCCTTTCATTTGGTATCCAAAACAGCCGCGGCCCAGGCCAGTGTATGCCAGGTATCCCCGACCTCCCAGTCCTCTAACTCCCGCAGCCCCTACAGGTACACTCATGTAAATTTCTAGGAATGCAAGAAGGCATCAAACTGTATCAAATCAGCAGAAATCACCCAGATCCATGATATCATGAAAGAGTTAGCCCTGTGTACAGAGAATCTGCTGAAACAATGGAATTAGCAACCCTGCACATTTTATAAAAAAAAAATGTAATTTAACCCTGTAGACCATAATGTTGTCTGAATAAATCTATAATTAAATTTAGGTAGGATTTTTAATTTAAAAAATGTAAGCAAGCTCAAATGATTGTGTCCAAATGAGCATGTAGTTATTCTTTTGGTAGTTATTCCTTTAAAATGGATTAAGGAAGGTTATATGCCAGCTTTATTGAAAAAAAAGTGGAATAAAATATTCAAATCATTAGAAAAATACTGGAAGACCAATCATCTCCCCTATATAGGGGCTATGGTTAGTCATAACAAAAATGATTTTTAATGCCATCTGTGCCCATATAAATGTAGTAAAATAAAATGATTTATAATATACATACCCAATTTGGTAATTGATATAGTTATGAATGAATGACAGTGCAGGATTCCTCAATATTAGTTCTCTCACTCAACATAAAATACTCCTGGTAAATGTTACTGATTATGAAAAAATAACTATTGAGAATGTGTAGCAAATTGGTAATTTATCCCATCCCCCTTACATGTTATATCCCAGATGGGAACTTCTGTAATATAAAAAAAATATGGATCAGCTGCTGAGCCAAGACAACAGATCACAGCAGAAGATTTATTGGATTGGGATTGCTGAAAGTGCAAAATTTCAAAAGTTCATTTATCACTCACTTGCATCACTACTGAGAAGATTTAAAAGTGGTATTAAACTCCAAATCAAAAATGTAATATATTGCAGCTTAGATATAATTAGATGTGGTGGCTGCATCAGTTTTCTTTTCTATGGCTTTTCCGTTTTCACCTGGTGATCTGGTCAGTATCCCACTTCTTTTGTATTAGTAAGACACCACTCTGGATGAATGAGCATAGGAGGCACAGAAGACAGCAGCATTGTCAGTCTGGGGGCAAGGGAGGGTTAAATGTATTTGTAGATTTAAATACAGCAGGGGTAGTCAACCTTTGGGAGGTGGAGATCTACCTGAACAACATGAAAGAGATCAAAGATCACCCGGGTTTGGCACCATTTTAAGATAAAAAAAAAAATTAGCAAGGCCTAACTAAATAGCAAGGAAAATGTAGAAAAATATAATAAAACAAATGTCACTGTAAAAAATACAAACTTAGCCTACCTTAAAAATGGACAGTGTCAGTCAGTAGGACAGTGGATGATGTGAGTCAGTAGGGCAGTGGATGGTGTCAGTGGAGCAGAGGTTGGTGTCAGTCAGTAGAGCAGTGGATGGTGTCAGTAGAGCAGTGGATGGTGTCAGTCAGCAGGGCAGTGGACGGTGTCAGTAAGGCAGAGGTTGGTGTCAGTCAGTAGAGCAACGGATGGTGTCAGTAGAGCAGTGGACAGTGTCAGTAGGGCAGATGTTGTTGTCAGTAGTTTTTATTTTTACATTTTTACTTTTTAATATTTTTCACAATTTCTTTAGCTGTTGAAAGGGGAGCACTTGGGGGAGGGGCCACGCAGCAGAAAAAAGGAGGAACAAGGATGGGAGAGGCAGCGGGGGAGGCGTTTACTAGAACCAATCCCCTGGATTTTCCTCCTGCAGCAGCTGTACACTGGTGGGAGGACATGGAGGAGATGCTAGCTTTCAGCTGCTCCAGGATGGCAATAAAGGGGATCATTGGAAGGAAGGTATTTAAAAAATCTGAACTCCCAGCAAGTGGCTGGGGATCTGGATTTTTTCTGCCCCCAGCTACCCTGGTGACCCAAGGCGGCTGCCTAAGCAGCTGTATGCTGCGCACCAGCATAAGGTTGCTTAGGCAGCTGCCTTAGGACACCAGGGTGGAGGGGGGCAGAAAAATGCCGATTCCCAGCCACTTGTTGGGAATTCAGATTTGTAAAATACCTGTCCATGGGAGGGAACGGAGGGGATGGGGAAGAGGACACTGATGGTGGGGAGGAAAAGGGGGGCTAGAGGCCACTGCTATGGAGGAAAAGGGGGCAGAGGATATTGCTGGGGGGGGTGATGTGAAGAGTGGTAGAGGACCTGCAAATTACCTCCTCCGCATAGCAGTGACCTCTGGCCCCCTCCCCGCAGTGTCTTCTGCACCCCTTTCCCCCAGCTTCCTCCGCTGCTGCTGTCATTCTCAGTGCAGAAACAGAAAGCGGAGGACAGCACGGCTCAAGACGGAGGGCGGGAGGAGGAACTGGCCAAATTACCTTTTCATATTAAGGACTGACCTAGCAACCAATCACCTGTGGGCTAATATGAAAAGGTAATTTGGCCAGTTCCTTCTCCTCCCTGCATCCTGAGCAGTGCTATCTTCCGCTCTCTACTGAGAATGACAGCAGCAGCGGAGAAGGCTGGGGGAAAGGGGGGGACCTGGTTGCCTACCTGTCACCTGCCCACAGTTGGCAGGTAGACCATGATTGATGGGTTGCTGACCCCCCCGAATTACAGCAACAGTTTTTTTTTCTTTTGGGATAAAGGTTTTACATGAATGAATAAAAGCTGAGCATTTTAATCACCCCTGCCAATGTTAAGTGGTTTGCCTTATCCATGTAAACTAATACATTCTGTCGGAGAGATTGTGCTTTTGAAAAACAACAGACTTACTTGTTGGATCACCAAATAAAAACAGAAGAAAGAAAACCTTAAAAAAGAAACTAAAGGGGCCATCGCTTCTAAGAATTGGTGAGCTGCAATATAATAAATGTTTGCTTTTGGGTTTAATAACATAAGAGGTATTGCTGTGCTGTAACCTTACTGTAGCAAGCAACCAAATACAAATCTTAAGCCTACCCATTCTCAGTTGCTTTTTCATTGCTGAAAGGTACTGCACTCCAAATTCTATTCTAACACTTTACGTGAATAGCTGAATGCTGCATAGAGGTCAGTTCAGTATGTAATTACTATTTACAATTTAGTAGATAAATAGGTAGGTTTAAACAGTAAGGAAAAACATGCTCCTCCATTGTTTAATCCTGTTCAATGTACACTGGACTGCACTTTATAATAAATTAAAGAACAAATTATAACCTTTAGTCTTTCATTTTTAGAAACACCATTTTGTAATAAATAAACCTGTTTAGAGTATATAGAAAAAGACACAAGTAAATAATATTCTATAGATTATAATATTATGTATAATTATAAAAAGAATTATGCGTGGTCCCGTGATGGTCATGGCATACATTTTTAGTATTAGTTTAGTAAAATATATTAAGGATCATTTAAAAAAGAAAAAATTACTACAATAATGTTGTCAGACTAGCATGTTAATGTGTTTGTCAGGATCAGAGGTGATTTGAATGTTAGTGATTATTAGTGTGCAGAGATGATGGTGGCCCTCTGTGCCTGGTTCAGGTGAGCTTATGTCAATACTCGCAGTAAATCTGCAGGACATCTGCTGGGCAACAGTCGCATGTCTATAGAATCAGCTGGAGGCTTGCCAGACCTGGGCACTTGAAAGGAACCATTGACTAAGAGGATTGCAAAGGTTCTCATTGCCAGCCTTTGGAAAATGCTAGTGGTCTGACTGCAATGCTGATCTAAAAGAGTTTGTACTATCTGAGTACTGACACAGAAAATGAATTTATTAAAGGAGTTTTGGCTTAAAAATCTGCATGTTTGTTGAACAGCAATTCAATGTATTGAAGCCAGAGTTAGACAAGTAAGAAATGACAACCCTCGTATTTCTCTCAATACAGGTTTCCTTTAAGAGTATGGGCACAATGGAGTTGATTTAATAAAAAAACTGGAGAGTGCAAAATCTGGTGCAGCTGTGCATGGTAGCCAATCATCTTCTAACTTCAGCTTGTTCAATTACGCTTTGACAACAAAAACCTGGAAGCTGATTGGTTTCCATGCACAGCTGCACCAGACTTTGCTCACTCTAGTTTTAGAAATCAACCATTGTATTAATAGTTTCTATTGCATCTGCTTTTATCATGTTTATTATTATACAAGATTTATATAGCGTCAACAGTTTGCTCAGCGCTTTACAATATAACGGGAGACAATACAGCAACAATACAGTTCAATACAAGAGGGATTTGAGGGTCCTGCTCCTTGGAGCTTACAATCTAGGAGTTTATGCAAGCCTTCCTTTATTTTTCCTGTTTCTCCATCCAGGACTTTTACACTTTTGCATTTTGTAAACTGCTTTAAAACTACATCATGCTGCAGTGTGTTGATTACTTCTATTTTGATTTTTGATTTTTTTTAAATTTTCCTTTATATTCAATGTTCTATGGTGACCACTGATAAAGTCACTAGAAAAAGAGTACCAAAATATATAAAGTCTAAATAAAAATGCATGTATCGTTTGATAGGATTAAAAGCTGATTAATGAAAATACAGTATGATACATAAAATGGACTTGTACATGTATCCTAATTTAAAAAGATTGGTGTGTTGTACTGAGGGTGGATGGGATTATAGGCTGAGTCCTCCTACATGGAG